TCGCGAGAAAAAAGCTTAGAATCAAAATCAAAGAGACAAGATGAGAGATAGAATGAGAGTGAGATGAGAAGTTGAGAGTGAATTGTTGTGTGGGATTTATGGTGAAATTAAGGGGTATTTATAGGGAATTTTTTGGGCCATTTTCGAATTGTTACCGTTGGGCCCTTCGCCCAACGGTCACATTTAGAACGGTCTGCGGGCCGTTTGGCGAACCTAGGCCGGGCCGAACAAGGGCCGAATCCGGGCTTGGGCCGAACTAGGCTTGGGCCGGGCTGCGGGCCTTCACGGGCTTGGGCTGCAGGCAGAGAAGCCGAGGCCTAGCCCTAGCCCCATTACACATGCCGGGCTGGCACGGCCCGTAACAGTAGCGTACCGGGCCGTGCCGAATCCGGCACTATTACGGGTTAGGCCGGGTCGTCCATGGAAGGCCCGGCCTATTTGACAACACTAAGTGGCTAGCACTTGATTGAGCATTAAGTTTTGGCAAAACATGGTAGATTTTCCATATGCAGGGTCTTTTGTCTTGTGCATTTAGTGTTGAGATTTAATGCTTTTCAATGTTTTATCTTATTCTCTATAGGGAAATAGGGAAAGAAAATCCATGGTTAGAGTTCGCCGAAGATCGTAACAATGAAATGGTGGAGCCTGTATTCCTTGAATTGCACGCCACTGCAGCGCTCTGCCTTCCTTCTGGTGAATGTATGTGTCCAGATGCAACCATATGCACTACATTAATGAGTGCACTTTACTCTTCAGTGAGTGAAGAAATTGTGACAGAGAGGCAACTCACGGTATGTTTTTTTTTCCTTCCAATACCGTCTAGTGTAGAAACTTACGAGACCAAGTATAAGACAGATATTCTACTAGTGTTACATAGGCACAAGCGGTCATGTTGAAACTTGAAACAGATAAAGAATGTTTGTTTTCTATGATGCTGTATCTTTGCCAGCCAACTCTCCTGAATGACTCTTTCATTACACTTTGCTTTACTTACTATAGAAAATTTCTTCCACCAGGTAAATGTTTCCATATCATCGGCGGATAATTACTGCATCGAGGTAGTGCTTCGTTGTTTGGCAGTGGCAGGTGATGGTCTTGGACCACGAGAGCTCAATGATGGTGGTATTCTTGGTACCATTACGGCTGCTGGCTTCAAAGGTTAGAAATTCCACATTTAATACACTCTACTGATGGTACATGTATTCAGAAATTAGTGTGAGAAAAATCAATATGACTAAATTAAATGATTTCTGATGCAGGCGAGCTTCCTCGATTCCAAGCAGGGGTTACAATGGAGATTTCTCGGTTAGATGCTTGGTTTTCAAGCAAAGATGGATCTTTAGAAGTCCCAGCAATGTATATTGTGCGGGGACTTTGCCGTAGGTGCTGCCTTCCGGAACTCATTCTTCGATCCATGCAGGTAAGCTTCTTTGGTCCATGCACTAAAATATAGTATTAATGTAGAAATTTTTGTCCTTTTTGTTTTTTTTGTAAGACTAAGTGGATGTTCTTTTTTTCTCTGTATTTGCACTTTTCATGTTGTCATGAATGTTCCGCATGCAGGTCTCGGTTTCTCTCATGGAGTCAGGCGTCACGCCTGAAATCCACGATGATTTGATTGAACTAGTTGGGAGCCCTGAAACAGGATATTTTCATTTGTTTAGTCAGCAACAGTTACAGGTAAATTTTTAAGTTTAGCTCATTTATTTGCAGAGAAACAATATATGAAACATTTGCTCTAGATTTCAACTATTTGTCTGAAGGAACATGTCATGGTTGGATTTTGCCTTTTACGTTTTCCTCTTGTATGAAATGTATATTCTTCATGCCTTCCACACGCGCGCGCGCGCACACACAAAAAAGAAAAAAAAAACACCCTTGCGGATGTATTTTTGTCTTGTCAAGGGCCTATTTCAGAATCATGAACTTAAGGCTCATTTGGTATATGAGTTCAAGCCAGTGATTTTGATTATGACTTTTAAAATTCAAATTTTTTGTGAACAAAACTACTGTAGTAGAATCAAAACTATGAGTTTTTAAATATATGAAGAACCCATATAACGTAGATTTTCAGAATCATGACTTTTAAAATTCAAATTTTTTGTGAACAAAACTACTGTAGTAGAATTAAAACTATGAGTTTTTAAATATATGAAGAACCCATATAACGTAGATTTTCAGAATCATAGAGTTCTGTGAGAAAATGAAACATCCTCTCAAGGCTTAAGCTTGTTTGATCGATAAAGGGTTTCTGCTTAGTTTCCCTGTCTTATTCCTCAGTAAATCTACATCTGAATATACTGATTTATCACATGAGTCTACCATTTCTAGGAATTTTTATTATTCGAGAGGGAATACTCAATATTCCAAATGGAGCATCAAGAGGAAGAACTTTCTTGATTATGTTGCTGCTAGAGACCGATGGTGAAGTTGTAAAGTTGTATGGCGGGTGGTTCTTTTTTTTTTTTCCTTGGTGTAAACTTCAAGTCTGTGACGTCTATTTTCTTGGGGATGGACGGTGAAGCAGTGTTCCCAAATTTGAACGGCTGAAATTTTATTTCTGATATATAATTTGTTAAGCTCTTAATCCAGTTCCCCTCGGGGGGGAAAAAAAAAAAATCTTAATTAAAGTCAAAGTGGTCCATCTGTAGTTTGTACTCACAATTTTCCTAGATAACTCGAGCTCAGTAATATTTATGTTGTTTGACGTTAATTTGACTCTGGCTTAAAATCTAACAAAGGTTAGCTGTGTTCATTTATTCAATTTTTAAATTAAAAGGTTAATTATTTATTTAATTAGAGCTCGGTGTTGCAAAAGCATAGTTATGCACGCAATTTTTGTTTTTCGTTATTTTATTGTTAGTTTTTAAATTTTTTTGAGCGATTTCTCACTTTTTTTGATAGATTTTTTTTTTTCAACTGAAATGATTTCTTAATTTATTTTCTAGAGATGATTTTTTTCTTCAATTGAAATGATTTCTTAATTTATTTTGTAGAGCTGATTTTTTTTTTGAGATTTTAGTACAATTGTCACTTAAATTTGTTGTGGTTTAATAAATTATTCCTTAAATTTTAATTTTGACAATGAACTCCTTGCATTTGTAAATTGTTGCAATGTGTCATAATTTACTAAATTTACTGTTTTGTATTTTAGATTTAAGAAATTAAACGTTGAGAAATTAAAAGATTTATATTACATTTGAATTGATATGTTATAATTTTTAGTCAAACGTGTTTTTTGGACACTAATTTAACAAAATTATCAAAATTAGACACATTATAACAATTTTACAAGTTGAGGGGGCAACTTGTTAAGTTAAAAGTTCAGGTGATAAATTACTAAGGGTGCGTTTAGTTGGTGTATACGTGCCATGATTTGAATCATGGTTCGTGGTTCGTTACAATATTTTTTGTCACAAAAAACACATGCAAATCAAGAATGATTTTGAATCATAATTCTAAATTTATGAACTAAACGTTCACTAAAACCATACAAATTCAAGGAGTAAATATGTAAAATAATTTTTTTGAAAGAGGTATGTTTTTAGAGAATAATAAGATAAGATAATATGATAACCAATGTTTACTGAAATTTAAGGGACATGGACATTGTTCGTGACATTGTTCGTTTGCAATTTGTCCACTTCATCCATTTTTCAAATTCCGACACATGTTTATACGTCTCAATTCTTAAAAGAAAACCGACATGTCGCTTAACCGAATTACAAGAATAAATTACACCCTTGTTTAAGTCAAGTAAAGAAATTAATCTCCTAAAATAAAAAAAAGAGTAAAAGAATTAGTTCTAAATGACAAGTCTGAACTCGTTTTATCGTATTTAAATCAAATAAAGAAATTAATTTACTAAAATAAAAAAGTAAAGAAATTAGTTCTAAACAACAAGTCTTTAAACAGAACTCATTTCATCGTGTTTGAGTTAAATAAAGAAATTAGTCTACTAAAATAAAAAAATAAAGAAATTAGTTCTAAACGGCAAGTCTTTAAATAGAACTCGTTTCGTCGTTTATACGCCTACGCATAAACGGTATTATTGTAGTAGCTGGTAGCTGCATGTAATCCACAATGTTCATTTTTTTTTAGATAACTTTTTAAAATCCCCCTGAACTTTTAGCATTGTGCCCCTAAACTTTTGAATTGCATTAAATTTAGGCCTCGTTCATTTTACTGATTCAAGTTTAGAATTTGAGTTTTGTTACAGTAAAAAGCTATTATAAATAATCACATTTAATTTTTTTGCTACAGTAAAAAACTCTCACATAAAATCATATCTCAACTCAAATTAAAAATTCAAATAAGCGAACCCGTTCATTTCGCCGATTCGAGTTTAGAATTTGAGTTTTGCTACAGTAAAAAGCTCTCAGAAACAATCAAATCTAACTTTTTTGCTACAGTAAAAAGCTCTCACATAAAATCACATCTCAACTTGAATTACAAACTCGAATCAGCGAAGTAAACGAGCCCATGGGCCTTTATGAAATTCTCCATGTGATCTGACATGGCATGTAAATGAAGGGTAATATGGTAAAACACCAAAATTGAGGAGTTTAATTGCATTTTCTAAAAAAAAAACTGCAAAACCCAAATATTTGACCTTTAATTAATAGTATAATATTTCTTTGGGAAAAATGGCAATAATAATAATAAGAATATTAGTAATAAACAAATAAAAATGCAAAAGAAAAGAGGAAAGGGCTTGCGGCACCATTAATGGTCCTTAAATTGTGTTTATCCAAAAAGAGCCAGTAAGTAAAGATTTTACCATAAAAATCTGATATAGAAGAAGGAAAAAAAAAAAAAAGATACTCTTCTCATGTTTGTTCAGGAATAACTATTTTCTTTTTATTCATTTATTATTTGCTGAATGAAGTCCCGACTAAAATAAAACCTCCCTTTTTTCTTTCTCAGCAAAAAGACGTTCCGAATTCTTCGTCCTTGTTCCGCATCATAGTACCTGCACTTGCTCAAAGCATTTCTAGTTAGGGTTCCCTTTTTCGTACGTATTGTATGTCAATTTTCCTCCCAGTTTTCTCATGATCCAAACACCCTATTAGGGCCGTAACGATCTCAGATTCTCCAATGGGTGTGTCCTTCAAAGTGTCGAAAACCGGTACCAGGTTCCGCCCCAAGCCTTCTCTTCAATCCGACACCAACGTTGCTGTCGACGATGTGGCGGAGAATTCCAGAGATAGCTTGCGAATTGTTCGCGGAGACGAATCCAATGCTCGGAAGCTCGAGGTAAAGTCTTTGATAGTTGTAAGAGAGAGAGAGAGAAATTGATGAATTCTGTGTCTTACTCAAAATTGGTCGTCAAATTTACCTGAAAAAGTGGGAGGCTTCTTTTTCAGAAAGTGAAATTGAAGTTCGCCAAAAGTGGCAATTAATCTCTTTTTCTTCTTGCCTCTCTCTCTCTCTCTCTCTCTCTTTTTTGGTGATTGGGGGAATCATATTTGATTGCTGGCGTTTATCTGACAAGAGGAGAGGTTTAAAGTTACAATTTTTAGATCTTTTGGTATTTCGGTTTCTGCGAAGTGATACTCATTTGAACTGATTTTTCTTTTTTGGAGGTTATCTTCTTATAAATGTCATAAGGGAATTTGGTACGGACTTTGGACATCCAAAAGTTGGTATTTTTTTATTATATTATTGTAGCTTTTTGATGTTTTACGTTTAAATATGACTGATTATTGATTCAAGCTGTGGTCTTTTTATCTTGGTTTTCCATTATGGCCGAGTCTTCAACAGATATTTAGTATTTTTTCCCTCCATCAAGAATAGTAAGTAGGTGCTCTGCAGAAGTCTGAGGAAGATGTGAACTTTAGTTTGCAAAAATCGTGTTTTTTTATTTTTTATTTTTTTGATTCCAGTATGTTTCATTTGAGTGCGAATTAGTATTGATGTAAAAGCTGATAAGCCTTACATTTATGTTAATTGGGTGCCCGGGAAAAGCAGTACCGTTTCTGATTTTGGCTTGCTTGTTGATCCAACTAACCCCTGTAAAAAAGAACTTTTTGTCTGTCTGGAAATGAGATTAGCAGAAAACACTAAACAGAATCTATATTTTCCTCCCGACACTTGATACATGCTAACTTCTATCTATTCTCAAAGAAGCTATTATTTTACTTTGCTCTGTAACCATGGAATAAGCAGAATGAGACAGTGGTTTGATATAAATTTTCTTTACTATATTTCTATTCTCTGATAATTTGGAGTAGCGTTTCTATCAATATATCACTACACACACTTATATATGTTAATGTGGATTGACTAATCTTATAGGGTGGTGTTGTTGAGGGAGGTGAGAAAGTTGCTAGGGTGTCTGGGTCAACCCTGTCTTCTGAAGAGCAACATGTATTAACAGGTTAATCTCAATTAGTCTATTTCACTATTTTGGGCTTACCTGGATCCTATTTCTCAATATCTTCACTCATTTTTGTTGCTGTTGTTGTCGCAGAGCCAGAGAGTGAAGCTTCCTTCACGTTGAACCTCTTTGTAGATGGATACTCTATTGGAAAACCTTCAGAGGTTTGTTGAAAAGAACTTTTAGCATGGAATAAAATTAAAGAGTCAGTTCTAAGGATTCAGGACTCCCTTGACCATGTTGTTTGTTTTTAATTCTATTTCTGAATATTCAGAATGATACTTCGCATCAGCCAACCGTTCAAGAGGTTCCAAAGTCGTTACATCCTTATGATAGGACATCTGAAACTCTCTTCTCAGTAAGTATCCAGTAATTAAGTTCATCTGTAAGAACATTATCATCTAAAGTTGAGTATCGTGTTTGTGGTACCCTTTCAGTGTTTCTTAGCTACTTTTTACTCATTTGCTTTAAGTTTTTATTGCACTAATTTCTTCCCCTTTCCTTTCTAAACTCTTTTTGGAGGCAATTGAGTCTGGTCGGTTGCCAGGTGACATTCTGGATGATATACCTTGCAAGTTCATTGATGGAACACTTGTTTGTGAGGTGAGTTTTTTTGGTTATTTCTTTTACTTTTTTCAATATTAATGAATGATTCTTTCTTCGAATATGAAAATGTCGAATACATTTCTTCTGAAATATGATATCTTTTCTAGGTTGTCTCCAACAATTGTTGGTAAATTTGTGCATAGTTTTCCAACTGTCGTCATCTAATTTCTGCAGTCCTGCAAAAATAAAAAGGAAAATTTCATTTTGGTACCCTGTGGTATATCAAAATATGAGTTTGGTACCCTTTGTTTTTGAAAATTTCATGCATGTACCTCAACCTTTTAGAAAATTTTTTTTTGGTTCCTCGAAACCCTTTTTTGGGATGTGAAATGTCAAATTTGCTCTTCTATTTATTTAACTAAAAATTTAAAATTAAAAAAATAATAAGAAAAATAATTTAAAATTTATAAAAATTAAAAAAATGTAAAATGAAAGAGAGAACCCAATTGAATTCAACTTTTTTTGCTTGAACAATCAAATTCAATTTTCATCCCATGAAATTCCCTTTCACAAACACACACACACACACAAGTAAAAAAAAAAAAAACCCACCACATTCCTACGGATCTCAATGAAAAGATCAAACATTATATTCCTTTATTTAACTCAAGCACCCAGAGTTTCGAATGCAATTGAACGCAAACACAGTCAGATCAAAATTTTCAAACCTAAACCTGGATTGTGAAATCAAACACATCACTGTCCAATAAAGGATAGAATATTTAGAGGCTAGAACTTTCTCTCGACCAACTCTATCTCTCTCCGATGAGCCCAGCCCCGGCGACCTCATTGCGACCACACTCGATGGCCGACCTTGGGGTTCTGAATTCCTCCATTTGTTCGAAGGTCCTCAGATTTGGGCAACGGTGACGGGGGTGGGTTAAGGCTGCAGAGGAATGGTTTGGGTGGGTCTTGGTGTTTGCTGCAGAGGAATGATTTGTTCTTTGGAGATTTGGTTTGGTGTTTGCTGTTAAAGTGTTGTTTGCAAATCTTGTTTTTTATTCTCAGTTGTTCTTTGATTTTGTCATTGTTTTTGTTTTTTTATTTTTTTTACTGTTTTTTAATTTTTTAATTGTTCTAAATATTTTTAAAATTTTTTCTAAATTTATTAGTTTTTGGTTTATTAATAAGAAGGGTATATTTGATATTTCACATCCCAAAAAGGTCTCTAAGGTATCAAAAAAAGATTTTCTAAAAGGTCGAGGTACCGGCACGAAATTTTCAAAACCAGAGGGTACCAAACTCAAATTTTGATATAACATAGGGTACCAAAATGAAATTTTCCCAAAAGAAAATGTTGAAAATGGGGATATTTTGCACTGTTTATTTGTGGAAACAAGTGCGGTTTCATTTTTGTGGATCTTCTAGTCTGGTAGAAAATAAATGGTTGTAACAATTGGTTTCTGTGTTTCATTGTATTTTTGATGCTTTTGCAGGTACATGATTACCGTAAATGTGCTTCAGAACCAGGATCTGGTTCACAGCCAACTGATGGGTGCCCTATTGTAAATAAAGTACGCCTTAGAATGTCATTAGAGAATGTTGTGAAGGATATTCCTCTGATCTCAGATAGTTCTTGGACATATGGTGATCTGATGGTTAGTATATTTCACTTACATCATCCTTTGCAAATAAATGTAATGCTTTGGTTTACTGATGCATTTTAATTGCAGGAAATGGAGTCTCGGATATTGAAAGCATTGCAACCAAAACTTCATTTAGATCCTACTCCCGAGTTGGATAGGCTATGTAAGAATCCAGTTCCCACAAAGGTAATCAACATTAAGGCTGATTTCATAGTTCTTTATGCACAGAACTGATAATATCTAATTATGTTGCATACAATTTGCAGCTTGATTTGGCTCTTTGCAGTTTGCGGAGAAAGAGAGTAAGACAGATACCTGAAGTTACTGTCACATCTAACTGCAAAACACATGGGAAGAAAATTTGCATTGATAGGGTTCCAGAAAGCTCTAACTGCAGATTGGGAGAATCAGGAATTGTTCCAGGCAACATAACAGCAGAGCATGTTCAGGAGAATCTAAATAGCAACATCAATGCCTTAAGAGCTAATAGCTTTGTGTCAGATGCTTCTGTTGCGACACCTCATTTGATGTCTAATCAATCAGGGTATCAAATGGGGGTTGGCACCCCAAGAAGTGCTCAAGATCATGTGGCAGGACCTGTAGTTAATACATCAGGGGCATCTCCTGCTGGACAGGATGTGATGATCTCATATGGTGACAATATAAACTCTAGCGCCTCTTTTCATAGAAAGAGGGAGAACCAAGATGGACAAGTGCCACCCTTATCTAGTTTAAATAAAAGGGCAAGGCCTATGCCGGTGGGTCTTGAGGGAATGCAACCGCAGCGAATTGGCCCACTTATGGACAGCTTATCAGAATTGGACTGGAAGAATACATTGTTGCAGCAGCAAGCAATGGCTAGAGGAATTCAATATGCAAATACTGGGAATCAAAAGTTTTCCCGTCAGGTGTTTGAAGGGGTTTTGAATCAGGATTCTGGGGCAGCCCCATTTTCTGCAGGACAACAGGGCATGAGATTCACTCCCAAGGAAGAACAATTTGATACAGGTAAGTTAGATGGGCCAGAGCTCAGTGGGGGTAGAAATGATATGCAGATGGCGGACACAGAAACAAGCCATCTTGATCCACAGCAAGCAAGGCACCAACAAAGACTACCCCAGCATACTTTCATGAGATCTAATTTTCCTCAGAGCCCTTGGAATAATCTTGGTCAGCAGACTGAGAAAGATGGCAGAAAGGAGGAACAACTTCAGAAAAGAAAATCAGTGCAAAGCCCCAGGTTGTCTTCAGGAACTTTGGTCCAATCTCCATTGTCATCAAAATCTGGGGAGTTTTCCAGTTGTTCATCAGGACCCCACTTTGGAACAGTAACAACATCTGCTACTGTTGGAGTATCACAAAAGGAGAGGGCTGCAATTTCCTCAGTAAATGCTGTTGGTGGGACCCCATCCATGACTTCCAGTGGTAATGATTCCCTGCAAAGGCAACATCAGGCTCAACTTGCTGCAAAACGTAGATCAAATTCCCTTCCCAAGACCCCAGCAATTAGTGGGGTCGGTTCCCCTGCTAGTGTTAGTAATATGAGTGTTCCACCAAATGTTACCAGTCCATCAGTCGGGACCCAACCTTCAGTTGACAAAGACATGCTTGATAGGTTTTCAAAGATTGAAATGGTGACTCTGAGGTACAATGTCATCTGTTCTATCCTTGCTGTAGAGTTTATGCATTTATGCGATTGTGATAACTTATTTGCTTATCTATGTATCAGAACCATCTTATTATTGCTTGTATTATTAGCTCATTGTTTTCGTTGGTAGCCAACCTACAGAGGAGCATGAAATATTTGATGAGTATCAACTGTTCTTTTAATACACAAAGCGGGCAAACAAATATGATAATAATAATTATTTTTTTTTCCGATTTTGAAGATCACCTTACACACTTTTTTTTCCTAACCATCTTTGTTTGTATCTTTAACTTGATTTCTTGATGTACTAATCTGATTGGTATGTACATTAGAACAATGTAAGAACAGTAGATCCTTTTCGCATAGTTTCTTCATAAACTTCAACGTTTCTTTGTTTCAGGCATAAACTCAACTGCAAAAAGAATAAGGTTGATAATTACACAATCAAAAAGTCTAATGCACATTTGCCTCAAATACTTAAGGCTGCTCTTTCCACCCCTCCAAATAATGAGGATTTCAAAGACGACACTGAAAAACCCCTATCAAAGTCACTTATAGGTGGCAGCATGAATATCTGCAAGACTACATTTATAGCTTTGGGGCATCAGGAGCGTACAGTTCAAGGTTTGTTGTATTAGTACATGTAATGTTTGGTCTCTTGTTGTGTTTATATGTTTATTTTGTGAATTCCTTTCTGATATTGGTTTATTCTTGCATTTGTCTGAATATTGCTCATGCAGGAAATTGCATTACTTGTGTTCCTAAGTTCCGGACTAGGATGATAATGTCAGAGAAGCAAAATGATGGAACTGTTGCAATGCTTCATGGAGATGCTGAGGCTGATTTTCATGCTGTGGAGGATTACCTTCCTACATTGCCCAATACAGTAAGTTTTACAAGACGAATCACAGCTTTCTTAGGGATCAGCCTGCTAATGACCAAAGTGGGCCTATGCCCAGTCATTTGGGATAATCAATAGAAAATGTCGCGTTCAAACCATCTCCTCAAAATTATCTAGATTTTCCAAACTTTGTTTGATCTTTGTGAAGTCAACCCTAATTTACACTGTTTTTTCAGATTGACTTCTGGAATTTAATATAGCTTTCAGTTTTAGCGTTATTGTGCTTTTGGCTGGTTATTCCTTACCTATCATCTACTTTAACTAGGGGTTGGTTAAATAGTCTATTTGATAGGAAGTTGGCCAAAAACCATTTCAATTGTAGACTTTTCCTGCTTTTGAAGCGTCATATTTAGTATTTTTACCCTTTCAAGTAGCTTTGTGTTCTTCTGACTTGTAAGTCTGATGAATTTCTGTAACAGCATTTTGCAGATTTGCTTGCACAACAGTTTCGTGCATTGGTATGTTTTAGCAGCAATATTCTTGAAGTCCTTTTATGTCATCCATCCCTGTTGTTTTTTAAGTAATTGTTTTCTGCTAATGCAGATGCAACGTGAAGGATATGAGGTGCAACAACATATCCAACCTAAGCCCCGCATCAATGTTGCCATTGGCAATCAATCAAATGTTGCTGGGATGCATCCTAATAATTCAGTGGTTGAGATGCAACAATACGAAGAAGCAGTTTCTGGCCAGCCATCCAATGAAGTTGTCAAGCCAACTAGTAGCGGTAATACATCTCTAAACCCAGCCCAGAATCTTCTGGCAAACTCGAGGATGCTGCCACCTGGAACCACTCAGGCCTTGCAGATGTCTCAAGGGCTCTTATCTGGGGCTTCAATGCCCCCTCGGCCACATCTTCCTGAGTCACAGTCATCACTTCCTCAGCAGCAGCAGCAGCAGCAGCAGCAACAGCAGCCGAACCAATTCATTCAACAGCAGCATCCCCAGTTTCAGAGATCAATGATGCTTGCAACAAACCCTCTTTCAAACTTGAATGCAATTGGGCAGAACTCGAATATACAATTGGGTAATCAAATGGTGAGCAAGCCTTCGGCTCTCCAGCTTCAGCTCTTACAACAACAGCAACAGCAACAGCAACAGCAGCAGCAACCTCAAATGCAGAGGAAAATGATGATGGGTCTTGGAACGGCTGTGGGTATGGGAAATGTAGGCAATAACATGGTTGGAATTGCAGGCCTTGGCAATGCAATGGGAATGGGAAATGCAAGGGGAATAAGTGGAACAGGAATCTCAGCGCCCATGACATCTATATCTGGAATGGGAAACGTGGGGCAGAACCAAATGAATTTAAGCCAGGCTTCAAATATTGGCAATGCAATAAGCCAGCATATACGGTCTGGGACGTTAGCACCAGCTGTTATCATGGCATCAAAACTTAGGATGGCGCAAAACCGAGCAACAATGCTAGGCAGTCCCCAGTCTGGCATAGCAGGGATTTCGGGAGCCAGACAGGTGCATCCAGGCTCTACTGGTCTCTCAATGCTTGGTCAGCCTTTGAACCGAGGGAACATGAGCCCGATGCAACGAGCACCAATGGCAGCTATGGGTCCTCCAAAGTTGATGGCAGGAATGAATATATGCATGAACCAGCAGCAACAACAACAGCAACAGTTGCAACTACAGCAGCAACTACAGCAGCAACTACAGCAGCAACAGCAATTGCAACAACAACAGCAACAACAACAATTGCAACAGCAGCAACAGATGCAGCAGCGGCAGCAGCAGCAGCAGCAGCAGCATCATCAAGAAACAACCTCATCGCTACAGGCTGTTGTTTCCCCACCACAAGTTGGCTCACCCTCAACCATGGGAATTCCACAAATGAACCAGCAAACCCAGCAGCAGCAGCCACCGCCACAGCAACAGGCCAGCCCACAGCAAATGAGCCAACGAACTCCAATGAGCCCACAGATGAGTGCTGGGGCTATTCATGCCATGAGTGCCGCTAACCCAGAGGCATGTCCGGCCAGCCCACAGTTGAGCTCTCAAACCCTCGGCTCAGTTGGTAGTATCACTAATTCTCCTATGGACCTTCAAGGTGCGAACAAGAGTAACTCTGTCAGTAATGCATAGTGGAAACTGCCCTCCTCTTTAGCAGTCTTGTTTGTGAGTTTTCTTATCAATCCCCATAGACTGTTAAAAGGCATTGGAGAGGGGAAGAGATTGAAGGCATGATGACAACAATTCATTAAGTCTGGAAATAACGGTACAGCTGTCTTGGTCCAAATCATTCTAATTGTGGCAATAAGATTGAAGTCAAGAACTGTGGAGGAATTTTCAATAAGTTGTATCTACAAATAATGTGTAGAAAAGTGTGGTGTAGTAAATTACAGGCATTAGATTTCTGGTACAGTAGGATGATTTTATAAACACCTTTGAATCCTTCACTTTTGGCTCCTTTTTCTTGTACCGCGGGGGCCCAGGGAGGGTTCCTGATGCCACTGCTGAAATTTCTAATTTATTGTGTTGATTTGTCGAATGTCCGTGGACATCTGTGTGGAATAACTCTTACATGTATCTAGAGTGGAATTTCTAATGGCCCCAAGCTATCAGGTCAATTTTTTGTACCCAATTTGTGATGAACGATATTTGATTATATTGTAGGATGAACAGAACAAGATGGATGCTTGTTATTATGTTTAGTAAGTGTTTGGTATTAGAGAGAGTTCTCCATCTTACCAGACATATAACTTTCTTCTCTGATTCAAGGAAACATACATCTCTTTTCAGTGCTCATTTTGTATACATTGGAAACCAAAAAGGTGGGTTGAGTTCAGTAGAATAAAATAAGATGCGGTAGATAAATGCTTATGGCTGGATGCTCTTACCCGAGACATTCCAAATCTGAGTATTCATGAATATTTTCAGACAAATGAAATATCATATTATTGTATGTACAGAAGATGATCCATAAGTAGTAATGCATTGCTTAAACATTGAAAAGAAATTAAAGCTTTGAGTGGAAACTTTCATGAGCCGTCCTCACATGACTCCTCGTGATATCCTTAAGAGTAGGACAGCCAGAAAGGGCCATGGTAAGCTCAAGCTCATTCTTCAGCATTTCAATTACACTTCGTACCCCATTTTGCCCCATTGCGGCTAGGCCATAGACAACTGGCCTTCCAACCTGCGGTTTACAAATAAGAAAGTGAAGTGAGGCACAAGCATTTAATATGTTTTTTCTACTATTGCTTGGTGTCATGGATTAATTTTTCTACTATAAAACGAGGAAGAGCTCACAAGTACAGCTTGGGCACCAAGGGCTAACGCCTTGAAGATGTCTGTTCCTCGCCGTACTCCGCCATCAAACAGAATAGGAACTTTTCCTCCAACAGCATGAACCACCTGAAAATCACATCCCATAAGTAGTTAAACATTAGGACCTTCCTCATTGACTTTCCATAACAAGAGAGCTTACCAAAAGCTAAAGGAGAATTTTCATTCTGAAGAACGACAACTAGCTGAAATACTGCTCACCTCTTCTAAGACTGAAACAGTGGCAGGAGAAAAATCTAGCTGGCGGCCTCCGTGATTAGAGACGATAACCCCAGCAACGCCTGCTTCAACAGCCTTTCTTGCTGAAAATGTTTGGACATCACATATTGAATAAGGGTCGACTTCTAGTTCTTAGAAATGAAGGAAACATTCATAATATGAAGCCATTGAATTACCATCTTCATGAGTGAGTACTCCCTTGACAAGGATTGGCAAGTTCGTGATTGATCTTAACCACTCAATATCCTGTGGATGTTTTTATTTTTATTTTTTTTTGGCACTAAATAAGCTGATTGAAACATTAGAAAACAACAATCCATGTCTGCATTCCAACCAAAATCATGCACACAAGAGTATAAAACATAGGAAGTACAGTAACATATAACTCCAGGCTTCAAGTTGCGAGATACCAAATGAAAAACTCTGTTTATTCCATACATCTTTATAGTAGCATTTCATGCAAGAAAAAGAGGTAAGATATATAATATAAAAACTAAAAAATAAAACTTCAGAGTAAAAATATTATTGCCTACAGCTCAGAAAAAGGTAACAATCAGCCGATTTCTACCTTCCAACACAGAGAAGCATCCATATTCCGATTGGCATAAGCCGCTAGGTTTGAGCCATCATCCTGTATCTATGAATTTGTCTTAGTTGAGTATTTATAACAGAAATTTCCAAGAAAAAAAAGCCAAATAAGTAAGACTACTTGTTTTGGAGCTCCCTCAAAAAGACATAATCACAAATATATGCGCTAATGCTTGAGTTTGTCATATTTTCGAGGGAAAAATTTGCTAATCAAATGAAGCTTTCAGTAAATAATGATTTCTTGATGAAAGGAAATGATTTTCGCAGTAAAATTTAATAAAACTACGAGCAAAATCTAAGAAATGAACCATATACCACTCACAAAGTCAACTTCAGTGGGCATAAGGCCTTCAAGATTCTTCAGTTTAGGTGCAATCATTCTGCAATAGTCATCAAAAACATGTTTTAAAATGAAATGCTTCTCTCTGAAGTAGCATGAGAGACCACAAACTATGAATTTAACAGTGTCAAACATTAAAAATGGTGTTGCATTAACATGAAATGATTATATAAACATGGAAACTCAGATTGAGGAAGAATTATCTAACCGAAAGGGACCAACAACCTACTTACTGATAGAACCGAACAGCATTGCAGCTCGCAGCAACTTGCTCTATGGTGCGGGTGGACGAGAACGACAATACCATGATGGTGTTGCATGCATCCGCTGCTCTAGCAGTGGCGACCTCTCCTGCGGTAAACTTGCAGAAGAATTATACATCATGCATTGTAAAAGAGAGAGTTTGAACTTTGAAGTCATTATCTGATGGGAGAATTCATCTAGGAATTTAGACCTTCGGGATGAGCTAATTGATGCATAGCAGTTGGAGCAATCATAATAGGTGCGGAGATTTTGAAACCCAATACAGTTGTTGACATATCTATTCTGCTAACATCTACAAGAACTCTTGGTCGTAGTCTGGAAATCCACAGCAACAAATGAATGAGAAATAAAGTTATACTCGTTTCTCTTTATGTTACTGTAATAACTAACATGAAGTAGGTCTAAGACTCACAAGATTCTTTGAAACGCCTCAACATTCTGTTTTAGTGTGTGCTGGTCCTCAGCTCCTCCAGTGTAGAAATCATAGTACATTTTTGGAAGGATCTTCTTCGCCAATTCTTGGAACTCGTTCACGTTGACAGGTTCAGTTGCCATTTTATCCTGGGCAAACAAATGTCTATAGATCATGAGCTCCTTGTAATCCAATCAGTGATTGGGTTAAATTTCTACATAACAATTCAGTTTCACTCCACAAAAAGCACCTGAACAGTTACGATCAGTAGTACCTTGAAACCATAACAATTTGAAGGAAAACATTATGATCCATTAGAACACTTCATGTTCTATACATTAAGTAACAGAAGAAAAATTTGATCTTCTTTGATCAGAAACAAGTTAAGGACATACCGATGGGTTTGGAAAAATCCGGTTTTCTTCTTGGGATGGCGAGTTAGTTAAAAACAGCAAATTAAACTGGTCTGATCAGTTTGATAGTTAGTGATAGAGTAAAGTTCATCGGATGGATAAGCAAATTGCGTGGAGGGCAAATAGAACCTTCCCTAAATGGGGACAAAATTGCTGCCTCAGAAGATTGTACACTTACTTTTCTTTTACGTTGGCTTTGAAAGATACTTGTATTTGAATAATATACAAGAAGAAAACAACCAAGCGTCCAATTGAGAGGCCAAACTCTACATATGTCGCTTTCTATTGAATTCAGCTTCAAAGACTATCAACATGGTATAAAGAAAGAAAAAAAATCAGAGCATTATACCAAGCTTTTAATATAATAATCAGAAATCCAACGTAATTTATTTTGAGGGACATGATAGCTTTTAGAAAACTTGGGCCCCAGTTTGGTACCGTTGTGATCCTACTCATACTTCCTATCAGTAGAGTATTTTTGTTTTCCTACTCTATCAAATTTCTTATATATTTTTACCCATACCTTCTCTTTTTAGTCCCACCACTTGATTTCGTTTGGGAGAAGTGAACTGAAGTGCCCCTCTGTTTTAATAGTGTTACAAATACGTCCTTGGCTGTAAAAGTCAACTCTCCTCGTCTCATAAGATGAGCGTTATTCTTGTGTCATTATGCCCATCCAAACTAAAAATCCAGCCAAACCACAAAAAAAAATGAGTTTTCCTCAAAAAAAAAAAAAAAAAAAAAACCCCACAAACATTATTAATAAATGATTTTGTTTTAATTTTTTCCCATGACCAACAAAACATTACCTCCACCAAAACAAAAGGGCGATATTAGATAGGTAGAGAAGTCCTTTTATTTCATTAATAGCACTGTAGGCCAAAGGAGTAGATAACCGAAGGTGAACATATATAAGTTATAACCAAAGGCACAATAGGAAACAGTTATATGTTTCCCATGTATTTGTGGGCTACTGTATCTACATTATTCCTTGCAGGCACAGCAAGTGGCTGCTTTGACCAGTACTGGCTGCTGGAAATACTGGCGGCCTTGTTCGTCCTCGGCGATTCGCTATTCGATACCGGAAACAACAATTACATTAGACCTACCCGGTGCTTCCAACCTAATTACTGGCCCTATGGAGAAAGCTTTTTTGCTTTCTCCACCGGCAGAGTGTTGGGACACCGAGTACCTGCAACACAAAATACACACAGACAACCACCACAGAACAACACCACAGCTAGACTACTGAAGGAACCTCAACCAAAGGATCCAATTCATTAATCGTCACTGGAAACCACGAGTTCTGCTCGGCCAGTAAACCAAAACAATAAGTATTAGTTTTCTCTCAACGTGCTCACTCTCACACAATCCTCTCCCTTAAAACTCCTGAGGCCGTTGTGACCTCCCTGCTCCCTAGCACTATTCCCTTGACTAGCCTAACCGTCTATAGCCACCTCAGCAACCTTCCTCACACACTCACATCCTTTCTCCAACCGAAAACGTTACGAGCTCCTCTAAAATACATCCGTTCATATCTGTTCCGCCTAGGCTCGGGTGTAACACAGAGCTACGAATGTCCGTACAATCCCTGATTTTATTAGCAAGCTGGTTTTATGATTATGATACTTATTTGTATAGACCTTAAGACTCAGCTGAGTAATTACAACAGAACGTTTATAGCAATTGAGGGAAAAACTAGGTGGTGAAGAAGCCAAGGCATTGTTGTCCACAGCCATTTACTTATTTAGCATTAGAAGGTAATGATATTTTGACCCCTTCTTTAAAAAAACTCCAGTTTCTTTGATTCAGAGTACAGTCAGCTTAAGTTGTGGTTCAACGGGTTAATCATTGGGTCAGAAAGTCTTTTTTTTTTTTTTTTTTTTTTGATTGGAGAAAGTCTTCATTTTGTATTATTTAAAGATTTTTTTGTATATAAAAATAATAAAAATTAGTGTAACGTTAACTCATAATTGTTTGTTGGTTTGGGCTAAAAGGGCCGTGGGGGTTGGCGGGAAGGGCCCTCGGGTGGTTCCAGTGGACTCGCAGCACCCCTTCATCGAATGGCGAGATCTGAAGGCGGCAATCCTCCACCGTTTCAGCCGCGCGAAGGATGGTGACCCAACAGAGCGCTTGATGGCTCTGCGACAGGAAGGAACGGTGGTGGAATTTC